GCACATGATAAACACAAAACTTTAACACACTGGGTCATTTTAGTCACTAAAACATCATGGCTGTTTGAGGGTTAAACATATGAAGTGTACATGGTGAATACAATTGTACTGTATGAGTGGGATCTGACATCAGGTGTTGACATTTTCTGTCTATTATCATTTTAATGACAGGATCTCACGGTGTTGTCATGATATCTGTCTCCTATGCTTCCACATTTGATTATAGTACTCCCAGCATAGGATTACTGTCTCCTAACAGCAGGTTGCAGCTGTGTGTAAGCAATGCAATGTACAGCTGTCTAGTTATTTACATGGCATGTTCTGGCAAGGAGAAGTTTCACGAGTTCAGCACTGCACGAGGCTTTATGTCACCAAAAGCAGCATATGTGAGTCTTCTTTAGAGGGCTTTGCACTCAAACAGCTCTGCCTTTAACACATAAACATACACATATGCACACTCACACACCGGATGTATCCTCCAGCTGTGGAAGCAGGCCTACCAAATGATCCCAAGGGAAAAAAGTGGGGAGCAAAAAGGGGGGTTAAAGGCAAGCGCAGAGAGATGGAGTTTCCTTATCTGGCCATGCTGCTTTGTACTTCTTTTTGAAACTCTAAAAGGTGGTTACTAAGGTTATTAACTCCCAAACACACATGCCAAACATAAACTTTGGTTGGGTGACTCAGCTATTGTCTGACTCACTTAGAGATGCACACACACAGACACAGAGAAACACCCCAAACCAATGTTCTGCCACACTTCATTAACAGTGGTGTGAGGGAGGTAAAGTGACCAAATGAAAGGGAAAAAGACAAAGTAGATCTTTGACAAAGAACAAGAGGACTACGCTTCCTGCAGCGGTTTTACTGAGAGAGGAGGAGGAGAGAGAGTGAGAGACGTTGAGGGAGGGAGGCAAGAGGAGAAGGAGGAAGGGAGGGGGGAAAAAGCCAACTCATCTGACACAAACAGTGGGCCAAAGAAAGGGGAAGAGCAGGAGCAACACTGTCCAACAGGGGTGGAAAAATCAAAGTTGGAGAGAGTGAGGAAGAGCATAAAGAAGACTAGACAGAGAGGGAAAGAGCCTGAGAGACTCCACACAGACTGGAGACGGGAAGAAAAAACTGTTTTAACTTGGCAAACAAAAGAAGAGAGCAGGGGGTGAATGAGAGAGGGGCCCCAGCGTTCAGAGGTAAGGAAACTATTAGCCTGCCATGGCTGAATGGATGCATTTCAGTGAGATCAGATGGAGTGACGGCGCTCCTATTTCTGCTCTGTGTTCAGTTGTTGCTATATATTTCCTCTATGCAATGTGTGTGTGTTGAGTTATGTGACAGATGAAACGGGGACAGAGGGAGGAGTGAGTGTGTGTGCAAAAGTGCGTTCAGCATGCAGGGGTGAGAGAGTTTGGTTGGATCAAAGCTCCAGATGGACTTGAACGGGCTCTGGGTTCAGCTGGTTTGGTTTTCAAGTGAAGAAGTTGGAGTTTTAGATCCATGAAGTCTGAGTTAATGCAAGATACTGATAATCAATCGTGAACCTTTTAGAA